ACGAAAATGACTTTTAAAAGAAATGAACAGGGATGTCCATGGAGCCATGACGTATTCCTACCAATAATTTAAAGAAAAATTAAGAGAACTTGAAAATATGTATTTAAAGTCTATTGCAAATAACGGCCAATGAGAACACATTTCATTCAAATTACATTCCAAGTGTCACATTTTCTTGCTTTTTAATTTCCTGGAAATAATCCGTCTTAAATTCAGAGCGTGATTCATTGCTTCCTTTGATATTGCATGACGTCTTATAACAGCAGTAATGTAGTGAGTCTTCTACTAAAGGACTTCAGATTGCGCTCACTTCCTCCTGAGTTCGCATTTCAGGATGTCGTCCATCCGCATCCTTCGAGATAGTGCCTCGAGTTTCCAGGATGTCCCTTCAGTGTTCTGTGCAACCATGAGGCTCCGTATGACTAGCGGACCAGTTTGTACCTCTATGAAAAATATATAATAATAATAAACTATATGCGTTCGTCTTAGTTTAATAGATAAAGCAGCAGCTGCATCTATCACATCAAGTCGGCAAACGCCAAATATATGTGAATAAATTAACTTCGGTACAAGCCTCCATATCTGAAATAATCGATTTGAACTATTTTTTTCCCTGCTTCTTAAGCTTTCTCAACGTTTTGGCTCAATAGTTCCCTCTTCCCACCACAATATGAGTCCAATGCTTTTTTGCATAATTTCTATGAGTATTACATGCATTTCCAGAACAGGAACAGAACGAGTAAGACATAATTTAAGATTCATTCGAAATTCTTACGTGAGAGGGGTAATTTTTAGCAATGGAAGTCAACATTTCATTGTGTCACTAACCTTCACGGTATTTGGAGGTTCGTTTGCCTGCATCTAGAAACGGGCTTGCCTAAACGGAGAAGTCTAATCCAAGGCGTACCCATATTTTGCCTTTTTCATTAAGTTTCATAGAATCGTGAAATAATCCTCCATTCGAACAGGTTTCTCCATCATCCTGACTTGAATCCATCAAAGAGAGATTCTCTCTATTGCGAATTGTGTCATGCCTTTCTCCTATGGTGGATTTCAGAAAGATGATGTCACCAATTACCTTCTTCTACCTACCTCTTTTCCCCTTGGTGTTCAGTGTATCTAAGCCGGCATGTCCCGCCCGGGACATATTGCTTTGCAATTACTGTGCTGATGTTTTTAATGATGACCAAATACAAGTGGATTGTTCCAGAGCTGGATCGTACGAGGAAATAGCAGTATCGTTGAAGAATGTACCGGGGCCATCAACTGAAATCTGGTGAGAGAAAGATTTCTGCTCCTAAATTGTCTGCTGGATGGTTCCATTTCAAGTAGGGGAGTATGAAAATTATAGTACAGTCTTTATTTTCTACTGACTTTAAAGAAAATGATATGTCAAATCCAATATGTGCCCTACCGAAGTAATGAGCTGCACCGCTTCCTTCAGCAATATAGCTAAAATTATGTTGGAGTGAAAAATGATGAGAGTGGAGGACTCCAGTAATAGCTTCGTTCCGACCCTTTTTTCCATGCACTCCTACATATATGAGACTGAACTAAATTCAACATCGAAATGCAAGTATTGCTTTTATGTGACATTAAGCATCCTATTTCTTCAACATTTCCTTTCTCATAAAAAATATGCAAATCCAAAAGAAGAGGTATTGCAGGTTTTGGTGAACTAAATGCTATTTAAGAAATTGACTTGCAATATTTCTTAGACTAAAACATTCATTGATGTCTTAAGGAGCTCACAACAATAATTTAAATCATGGTTATTTACTTTGGCTGACTACCTCTGCCTCTTTCGTAAAAATGGGCAAAAAGAAAATTATTTTTAAATCCTCATAACTAAATTTCATTATTTTCCCTCTGATCGAGAAGGGCATGATCTATCTAGCGCATTGCTTTTTCCATGTAACTTTTCATAATTTTTTGTAAGGCAGGACATTCGGCGAACACAAACGACAACGCAAGTATGATGTTACGAAGGGAGGAAGTGGATACCGCTTGGCACCACACCCAAATAACAGTTTTCAGGCTGGGACACGCCTCAACAGTCCTATAAGAGGTCATAAGGGCAGCTAATGGGTTAATTAAAACCGTGACTGGCACGAGGGGTTCTGATGGTGCATTGCACCCGTATCTATGGTATTTAATGCATACATGACGACCGACAGATGTCTGTTTCACCGTATTTTGTCAGGTGAACTCCTCCCAAGTCTCTCAACCAATTTTCATCAGCGATAGCTCATTGGATTCTGAATTCTGTGTAGTGTGCCATCTCATTTTAGATTTGTATTCTGGGTTGACCTTTGACATGACCCGAATGACCATTCATATTAATTATGGACCAAAATTCCAATGGAATTCGAAAGCCCTTGACCTCCTATGTTTGAAATCGTTTTTATACTAAGCAATGTTGGCTTTTGATCCTGCAGCGGTCTATTTCTTTTGGAAAGTGCACTTGCGCCATCTCTCTTCAGTCCAGATAGCTGCTTTAAGACTATCACTCGGCACGGACACTTGCTTTCTCATCGAAGCTCACATTTCTTTTTAGTTGTACTGACAATTGTTTGTTGTTCTCACACGCGGGACTATTATCATATCGGCTATCGGCATTAGTACAAGTTTTGTTTAAGGTTTTTCCAGACATTTTCCTAGGGAGCATCTAATATATATAGACGATCGTGACTGACTGATTGACGCTAATTCTAACCATGTTCCAGAAATGTTAGAAATCTGAAACTTGGTACACATGTATCTTTTGGGGCGCAGAGTTCAGAAAAAATCTGACTTTGGAAGTATATGCCCTGGGGGTACACATTTTGGGGGGGAGAAGAAAATATACATCGTGATAGATAAGGATGTCATCGAGAGACATTAGTGCATGTCGACGTTTAGGTGGTGTAGTGGTAGCACATCTGACCGATAATCGTGAGGCCTAGCTTCAAGTCCCGGCTGTTCCATGTTTTCTTTTGGCTTCTCTTGCCTTCCATGTCCCGTTGCTTGAATAAAACGGAGAGACATGGAAAGCGTAAACGTGGCATGGACGTGCATAACGACACGATGAGATAAGGAAAAATGCAACATTTTTTATCCATCCCCTGGGGGCATGGATCCAGCAAAACGGAGGGTGCTAGAAAGTTTAAACTTAGCAAAGTACCTGATGACTAGCTGAGTAATACTCCATGTAATACTTATAGGCCAATGTATCTAACGCTGCTAAGAAGTAGTTTTTACCTCTCATCTTTCATATTCAGGTAGATAACTTTTCACGTGGCCCTCGTAGGTTCTACCAATCGACCAGAGATGGCGCCATACCGCCAATTTAGATATTCTCAACCTGGCGCCCTGAAAAATTCAGTTTCCTGTATTTTTCATACAGCACCCCATCTCTTCCCACTTACAACTTGAGGGAATGCTTTGGAATTCCTAGGTAACCACTTGAAAGAGGTAACCCAGCAGGAGACTCCAGGTACTTCTGGCCTGGGGGTCCGATGAGAGTAGAATTTGCTTTCCTCGCATCTCGGTAGAGTGACTTATGCTATGATGCCCTTTTTGAGAATGACATTGTGTTAATCAGGCTGCGAAGGTGTGCCTGTCTCTCCTTCTGCGTGAGTGATGAATCTGGAAGTTATGACAGATGTAAAACTCCTTTGCTAGACAGAATGAGTTGTGTCATCCAAGTATTTAACTCGAGTTTTGACCCAGTGAAAGCAGTTACTCGGAAGGACCCTTCTGTGGGATAATTGCACTTCTAAGAGTACTTTGGAGTCCTTCTCAATATTAGCTCGCTTTCAGGCTCAGGAAAAGAAGGAGGTAATGCCCAAACGTTTAAAATTTAACGCTGCAACAACGTGACACTATCGTATTTTCAACGTTGATCAGTGTTTCATTTTAACTTTGCAGCAAAATTGAACCTATATCTTACGCACAATTGGGGCAACAATTCTGCGTCAATGTGTGATGATGTGTGGCAAGGTTTGATGAAGGACCACAAGATGAAGGTGGTTTAATTTTCTTTCTTTAGAATAGGTGGCCGCACATCCCGTGTCCGGTGCGGATATGGTTTGTTTGCGGGGAAGTGACGCTCCTAGAGGTTGTTGAGTCGGCTCCAAGACTAGGTCTCTGTTTGGGACATTAGAATTGTTCCAGGCGTTCCTACATTGGTCCACTAGGCTGCACGGTGTTCGATGGAGAGTACCTGCAGTAACCAAGAACGGCTTACTTGCTTTGAGACGAGGTGGTGGTTGGTTGTTGAGGTCCTCATGGATGGGCTGATCTTGCTCAGCGTAACGGTGATGTGGAAAATGAACCATCTTCCCTGTATCCTCCAGGTCAACATTTTCTGAAGACTCCTTGAAATGGGGTACCTTGTAAGACCCATTTGTTGTTGAACTCAAATGTCTTCCTCTGCGATGTCTGTGTGGGAAGAAGATCGGGCACCTCAAGGAAAGCATTAAAGACTAATTTCAGTTTTATAACGTACTGACTCGTTTTAGCGGGTCCTTTGGCGTCATCTAGCATCGATTCCGTGAACTTTTTTATAGCCACTATCAGGTGGATAGCACAGTAATGCTCACGAAAAGTGCCTTTTTAGCAATCAGTGAACGTAGTTCCAGAACATACTCTATTGGTGATCATACGAAACCTTATATTCTCGTCCAGAAGGTGCTAATCCCTGAACCTTGAACATCATGAGTCTCTTCGAGCTGCCGTTGAGCGTCTTCATGAACGTTCTTGCGTTACGTGGGCTTGTTCATTGCAAAGTCCGTTCTTCACCACTCCTAGTTTCAGTTTTCCTACACATGTTACTTGTGTGACTGTGTTCACTGTCTACGTTATTTTTGTTATTGTCGTTATTGTCATGCATGAGCGAAGTCATTTTCACTCTCTTTTTTGGCAGGTGAAACAGGTCTGCCAGATACAAGCTTCACTGAAGCTTGTATGTTCACTTCACCTCACTTCATCGCATCGATTTCCATTATAGTTTTTCTCATCGTGATTTTCATCATTGTATGCATTTTCTACTACCGTTTACGAAAAGAGCAAGTGAGCCATCTTCATTGGGAAGAATTTCAATCCAATGTTATTTGCTGTATCTTGTGTTCATAAACCTTGCAGGTTCGCATAATTGCATTTCCAAAGAAAGAAACTAAGCGATTTCGAAGAGGAGAACCCATGAACATCAATCCCACATTGTGCCTCATTGAAGAAACAGATCTTCTGCCATATGACGAGCACTGGGAATTCCCAGCAGAGAGGCTACGCTTCGGTATGACCTCATTCACGAATAGAATCGCCTTGACAAGTAATGATTTCGATTGTGGTTACAATCTTAATAGGGGAGGTGCTTGGCCAGGGGGCATTCGGGATTGTCATCAAGGCCGTGGCTCGGGGCATCAGGCCCCCCGAGCCTGAAACCACAGTTGTTGTGAAGAAAAGCAAGCCTAATACTAACCTTGTGCAATTCAAGGAGCTTATGATGGAAATGAAGATAATGAGTCACCTCGGAAAACACCTGAACGTGGCAAATTTCCTCGGAGCCTGTTCACGAAATATGGCTTCTGGCGAGTTTCTTCGTTATTTATTAAGCAATACAGCAAAATAAAAGCATTCGCATTTCAGTTTCCTGAATAACGTCCAGAATTACAAAGTGATAAACATGTTCTGTCTTTACTTTTTAAAGTGAATTGTTCTCAGTTGAGCGCTGCTTACAAAATCTCTTATACGATATATTACTAGATTGCTATGAGTCCTTGCCGTTACATTCTGGCCAGGTTTTTCTGAAGGACTTATGGCCTCACATTGACGGAACGAAGAGGAGCGATTGTGGTTTTCCGTAATAGTGTCACTCTCACGCTGACATCTTGAAGATTCTGGGAACCAAATAATTATCGCACAGGTGTCTTAGCAGGACTGTAAAGTGCTTTGTAGAGACCTGGAGAATAGAAGACTAACGAAAAAGTGGTCTTCCTCACACTGTTCGGACGCCACTGCTGAAGAAGAAGGTGATGGGTCGGGTGAGGCAGAATTGAAACTTGGTCAATGAGGATGTTGCCTGCTGAAGTTAATATTACTTAGGAATCAAAGCGGCTGTGGGTCACAAGGGACTTTTGCATGCGTCCTTAATAAGAGTCCAGTCCACCCGGACTGGCATCAACTACCTGACGCAAAACACCGGAACGAAAGACTGTTGGAATGGTTCACTGACAATGATGGTGAGCTTGTCTTCTTGAATGATAATATATTTTCGACAAAGCAGGTCTTCAACGCCCAGAACATGCACCTGCTATGTACCAGCTTAGCGAGGATACCATCTGAGCTGGAAATCGTTTCTAGGTCGCAGTAGGCTGGCGACATGGATTGTGTTGGAGTTTCAGCAAATGACCCCACAAACCTGATTTTTCTGCTAGAGGGAGCGAAAATGATCCTCCATCGGTGCCGCGAGCTGATGTTTAAATTCGTGGTGAAGCACTGCAGTCGAAACGTGTTCAGCAGCCAAAACTGAAACTTTGATCAAGATCCTCAGCCCACACTGACAAAGAAACTCAGCAATGGTCGGGGCGCAACAAGCCGAACATAGTCATGTGAACTAATTTTCCCCCATCGTCTACAGATCTCAATCCCTTGGACTACTTCTTATGGTCACTCTAGCGGGCAAAGATCTGCCCTCGCCCACAGACGAATGCTGGGATTCTGAGTTTCTTCTCCTTCTTCAAATAAGGAAGTAGATTCCTCAAGAAACTCTGCATGCTGCAGTCCTCAAATTGCGTCGTCGTTTTAAAACTAGAGTAAAAGCACGTAGTGAACATTTTGAGTAGCCCTTTGTTTAAAAGTTACCTAACATGTAGCTGAGCAATTTTGAAAACTTTTATCTTTCTTGAACCTTTGGTATTGGTTCAGAGAGAAAATAGATGAATCGACAGAACTTATTTGTCACTTTTAATTATTTGTTCCACCAAAAACATATGTTGATTTTTCTCGTAGGTGATCTGATGTTCATCGTGGAGTACTGTCGGCATGGGGATCTGGAACGATATCTGAGAAAATATCGATCATACTTTGAGAATGGAATTGGCCATCGCACTGTCAATAAATCCAGGATTAGGAGGAAATGCCTTCACGCCGAGGCTCACCTGCCTCCAGGTATCTAATTGTGTATCTAAATTAAGAGTTGCACCTGTTGGGTAAACTTTTGTTCAAAATTAGAATTTTCGCCGAAAATGTTACTGCTTGCAGCGATATGCTTCTAATGAAAGAGGGGAAGGAATCTGAAATAATAATTGTACTCATGGTACTCGCGGCTCAATTCGAATCAATGAAAAACGCCAGTAGGACTTACTTGCCCTTGCCGACAGAATTTCAAAAGCCTTCAACATTATATTTGTCCATCGCTTTCAGCTCCGAATCTCAGATTTTTTTCTTCAGTTTCAGATAATAATGCATGTTTCTACTTTTGTTTCAATCCATAACAGCTTATTTTTATTGCTTCCGACTTCAGTTTGCATGCCAGTAGACTCTGGGCCTTCGGAAGCGGGAAATTCTACCCTGTATTACTTTTTGCACGAAGTTAATGACATTTGGGGGTTTTGTCTGCTTGCAACTCTTAAAAAAGGAAACCTAGGCGCCAGCCCATTGAAGTGGTTCATCATTTATAGTCACACATTCAATTGAATAAGCACGAACTCAAGTAACATTAATTTTCAGGAAGAGAACATGGACATGGATTGGAAACGACCATCAGAAAAAAAGGGGATACCTCCAAATGGATTAATCTCCTTGTGTCCTTCTCTCTCGGCGATATGGTGTCCTGGGCATACCAGATATCTCAAGGAATGGAGTACTTGAGTTCCCGGAAGGTGTGTTATTTCCAAAGCATAATTATTATCCGCCATTCTAACCAGGAGAATGTTCGCGAAGTAATACTAATTGGATCACTGAATATTACATAGGTTTTCCAAACAACAGTAAAACCGGTAATATTGAACTCGACCCCTTTTCCCCAACAAAATCCATTTCCTCTTAACGCTAAATCCGGCATCATGCTGGCGAAACTTTCCAGATAATAAGAATTCCAGCTTAATTTTTTTTTTGCCGCGCTTGTATATTATGGCATCGTGCACACGAACACCAAGCGTAGCTACAATTAGAATACTAGCGAGGAATCGTCAAGCTCAGAATTAAAAAACAACAGACACACTTGCATTGGGACCTCGAAAGAGAACCCCAGTGAAATGTCGAAAGTATTAATATTTCATTTCATTGAAGATTGTCCATCGAAATTTGGCGGCAAGAAACATTCTCTTAGCAGAAGAAAACGTCGTGAAGATATCAGGATTTGGCTTTGCCAGAGATACCCAAATAAACAATCAGTACATCAAAGAAGGAGACGTGAGTTCTTTACTTGGACATTTCCTTATTATTACATCAATTGAGGGAATATTATCCGAATCCCTGAACCTGAATATTCCAGGGACCAATACCTTACAAATGGATGGCTTTGGAATCACTCATCCATGAGAAGGTATATACAGGCAAATCAGACGTTTGGGGATACGGAATAACGCTCTGGGAGATTTTCAGCCTTGGTAAGACTCCATATCCTGGCATGAAATCTACAGAACTCATCGAGCGCCTGCAAGCCGGCTATCGCATGGAGGCTCCTGATTGCGCCAATGAACCTATGTCAGACCACAAGCATCATTACTCTGCAATACAAACTGAATATTAGCTCTTTCTCTTTTAATTACCACTTCCTGGGTCCATCTCGTACAGCTATGAAATCATGCGGAAGTGCTGGGATGCGGATCCAAATGATCGGCCAACATTTTCCGTGCTGAGTGAATGGTTTGCGACTATGATGCCAGAATCTGAACATCAAGTACATCTTGAATCCATACCGGTACCAAACGCACAAGACTATACCCAACAAAATGTCATCCATTGTTCCACTTTGTTTTTCTGCAGCGCATTTTGGAGCTGAACAAGTCATACGAGGAAATGAACGCCGAGCACTTCAAGACGCATCCAGATTACTTGCAACAGATGGCATCTGGAGGATTCGAAGAGGGATACCTTCAACCACATGGAATCCTAGATTTTCAAAGGGAGTCATCTGCATCGTACCAAGACAATGCCATTCACGAGTACTGCGAAATCAATGAGAATTTCAAATCGAAAATCTCTGACAACGTTCCAAAGGATGAAATACGAGGAAGACAATACCCAGGGATACAAACAGATGAGCTTTGAGGCGATACCCAAGAATTGTACTGGAAAGAGAGGGAAAAAAACGAAGCCATCATATTGGATAAAAATTAATAATCGCATATGAACTGTTGTCGTTTGTCTAAAAAGTGACACTGCATTTGAGGTGAAAATGGGAAGCAACAAAGAGTTCTGAAGTATTTCTATTATAATAATTAGATTGAAATGATTGCACCACTAATCTCGAGAATCTCCAAATATGGAAATAATGCAATGTACCGTAAAGGGTGTCTCAAAAAAGTTAACGCTGCCAGAGTTATTTTTCTCATGTTAAATTAAATTTGAATTAAAATGTACTAGCGGCCTGCGGCCGCTACGCTAGCCGTGTAATAGGTGGAAATTTCATTAGTATATTGTGAGCATAACGTCTCCTTGACAATCCTCTGTTCATCACATTACCCGTTCGGAACTGAACCGCTTCATTACATTTATAAACATATAGCTTACAGTACACAGAAAGATTATGTTCCTGAACACCACCATGATATTCGAGCTGGTTGCCACAATCGCCATTGGGAACGCCACAGTTTAGTACGTATTCATGAGACTCACGACTGCATTCTAGCAAATTCAATACTCTTCGCTCATGGGCTATTAGCGTTAGCGTATGGTACAGACACCAATGAATCTGAAACAGTGCGGACCATTTCCAAGAACTTGTTCGACGGCATAGAGGGAAGTTAGTGCACGCGCGACACGATGCTAGCGACTAATTCCTGAAAATGCCTCGCCGCCACATTAGCACAAGCGAACAACACTTTCAGACCCTCGGGGTAAAGTATGAGTTGCAGCAGGAGCACTTTTCCGATGTGCCAGCAATGTGAAACGAATTCTGAACAGGAAAGCACTCATTCGCGAAGCAGAACCCAGCATGTAGTGCCTCCCTCTCCCAAATTCGACCACTAGAGGTAGATATAGGAAACCCCATCGACCTGGTTAACCAGGGATGCACAACCTCCGGCTCGCATGCAGAACATTCCTAATTCTTACAATTTCTTAGATTTAGACATTCATCATTGTGAAGTCGTCGTACCTGCGATTATTTTACGTCAATGACTACCTGAAGTTAACAACATAAAGTAAATACCTTTGGAATTATTTTTCAGTTTTGAATTTCGTACTTAAGTAATACTAGATATGCACTTACTTTTCACCGAGTATCTCGTTTTTCAAATAACAATTGTAATTTTTGCAAAACATATGGAATCGTTGTTGCACGTACACACGCTAATTTAACATTAGAATTCCTTCCTAGAGCGCAGCCCCTTTCCCTGTAAAAAGTCAGCCATTTTCTTCGATGTATCAGTAGGAACATATGTAAGTGCGAATGCGGAAGACAGGGAGATAACGAATCGGAAGTAGGACGAGATGGCTGACGCGGTCCGGTTGGGAGTCCATCACGATTCATATTGCATCCGTTTTGGCCACCGTCGTGTTCGTGCGTGCGTCTTCACGTTCAGGAAACGACCCTTCACGCGCGTTCAGGGCCTGTTCCCCTCAAGCTTTCATACCCACTCTTACAGAAAGTTAAGGCGAATCCTGCTCGCTTGCTCTTGTAAGGTAAATTGTGGACTCGAAGAGGTGATCTAGAGATCGTCAAAGATTACTACCATTTACACCAACTCAATTGTAATTAGATTAATGATAGGCAAAGGCCCGTTTCCTTATCGGTATCCCTGATCATGTCGATAAGCATACGTTCCAGGGATGGTCTCAAACTGGAACTTGATTCCAGTTTCATCAGGTTTCTGTCGCTTTTCATTATGAGCAGCTTGTACATGTTAAGCTCAGCCGTTAGCACTCTTTTTTTTTAATCTGGTCGTTCTTGACTTTTTATAGTTTTCTTTTAGCCAAATAATGCATAATGGGCACTTCTTTTTCAACTAAGTGTAATTTTGCAGAAGATCTCCATGGTTTTCATGCATCATTATCATCATGTCCACTCATTTGCATTTATTTTCCATTTGTTATTTATATACGCTTCGACATGGAATTTGTCTGAATTTTCTATAGACTCTTGTATACGACGGGTGTTCCATAAGTAAGGTAACAAGGCCTGCTGCGAATAAATTATTGCTTGCATCGAGGAACTTTTCTGGTGAGGCAGTACAGCGACGGCGAGGCTTCCATTTCACGCGCGTATATATCGCTGTGTAATACTGCTCGTGCGTAAAATGCCTGTAACGACTGGACGGATGAGAGAGAGAGAGAGAAACAAGGCCTGAAGAACACCTTGCCTAATGGAAGTCCTTCACGAGGGGAAAGCTGAGCATATACCGAAACGCATTAGTGAATGAAACACTGATCAAAATATTAAAAAATGAAGTGGCTGCTGGAGAGTTACCGGTGGCACGATTGCAATCCTTCACTTTAAAAAATTAATTAATTAAATTAAGTTCAAAATTTTATTGTGGACTTGGTCTATGGACTTTTCGACCTTCCCTTTTTTTCCGGAGCTCATCAGTGAGCCGTTTGTAGGCCTTCCTATTTCCCACAGTTCCATCGAAAAGGGCTAAAATATGTAAATCATCGAACAAGAGAAGTACTTTCACATCCTCTTCAGCCCGACGCGTCTTCATTTTCACGCGCCGCAGATGAAGAGGCGAAAGAAGCACGACAGGCCACAACTCAAACACGAAGGAATGCGGCCTGACCGGCTCGAAACCCGGGTGCGTCACCACGGACTTGGCCCGGACATGGTGATAACGCCCGGGAGTTTAGTTTTTTAATCTTTAAATCGTAGAACTTCATGTTTTTTTTTCCGATTTCGTGGCCTAATGGAGGTTCCTGCACGAGGAATAACGGCCTTTTGCAATAGGCATCCGACTAGACTCATCTCGTAATTAATAGGCGGTCATATATTGCTATGGTATGTCTGGTTGGCCTCTCTTTTAAATTAAAAATTAACAATGCCGATGCCAATTTGCATTTAAATGTTTTTCACAAAACTGTCACGAATTACTGTATTTGAGACTAAGATACTCTAATGCAGCGCGGATTCCTGGACCAAAGTAGACATCTGAGATTTCCGCATCCGGCCTTCAACTTGGTTCAAAGTTTCGTCGGAACGCAAGGATGCCAACCTCCCCATTAAGGACTACAGGCCCCACCTTTTTTGGATTCGAAGGGCGTCGGCCATCCACGCGATTCTCGCGGGTCTCAAGCACCCGAAGGATCCAGTCCCGATTCCTCGGCGCGTCGAGTCGGTTGACGGATTTGAGAGATGAAACGCGTGGGAAACGCATGGGGATGGGCTTGGTTAAAGCGGTCCAGGTTTAATCTTCTATTCATCAACCGGCCCTCGGGGTAATGCACATTGCCCTTCTTGCAGTTCGTGAGACCCCAAAAAAGGACGTCCTTTTTTCAGCCTACGAATGTCGTCTTGCTGGCTGCGACGAGGCGAATAGATCCTGTACGTCATCGTGACCTTCTAAATGAAAATGCATGCGTGATATCACATAAGGAAATGAAAGAAAGAAAGCGTCGCGAAATCTAGGATCGTCTTCCCCTGGAATATGAATTTGGATTTGACGCGTGCGAGCAAAGAACTCAACTATCCAATCCTAATTCTAAAAGTTTGGCGCTTCATCGCTGTGCGTTCGGGCTACCTGTCACTTCGAGAACGCCATGTTTCGAGAAAAAAAATCAATCCTTCGTGGTCTGGGTGGGCTAATAGTGCGGAATCATCAACACGATCACACGTTAGACGAACAGTCATCCTTCGGTGATCGAAGAGGGCAAGACTCGTTCGCCGACGTTGGCTCCCGTGGCAAAACCAAACTTTTTTTTTTATGAAAGCCAGTACGTAGATGCTTGTTTCAAGGTAGGTACATTGCTGCAACAATGAGCAATATCCCGAAAAGCAATTTCAAAGAGCAATGCATATTTTTTCTCCTTACTTCGCACGGAACCAGCGAGAGCCAAAGCCTTTCGGTGAAGCAATCACTCAACCGTCGCGTTTTCGCCGCCACATCATGCAATTAAAAAGGGTTAAGTCGGCCAAACGTGGGCCATGTGCACGTAGATCAATTTCGATTGTATATTTGGAATTGGCATTTAAAATTGCATATAGTAACGCATTTTGACTTTCTAATTACTATTATAATCAAAATATTGACGAAAAACGGTGTTACCTAAATTTTTTCCAGAGTGGAATCATCTTAGTGGCTAACATCTGTGCATGGATGCCGTCTCGGGAGGACGAGTAGTACAGTGAATTAGAGACTTCCACCTCCGAATCCGATGCCGAGTGGATGAAGAGATCCGCATTCATGTTGGTGAAGGACAGAATGAACAGGGAGGGACGCATGCGCTGTGGAGTCAGCTGCAAGGCACAACCCCCTCTGGAACATCACCGTTGCACAACCGAAGGAGGTGACGGACATCCTTCGGTCCCCTTTTAAAACGTCAACTTCGAGTTGCCGTTTTGAACCACGACGTTTTTGGACCACAAACAGGTGTTCAAAGACACGGGTTTAGAAACGTTCTTTGACAAAACTGACTATGTTCCAAGTGACTGGGCCAACGCCACGTTGTTGAGCGACTTGCTGAGACTTGATTACATCTGGAAGCGAGGGGGCATGTACATGGATTTAGATTACATAATCCTGAAGTCAATCCACGGGTTGGCTGGATCATTCACTACGAACGAGATCCTCGTGCCCGACAATGCTGCTTTCAGATTCCCTGCCAGACACCCGTTCCTAACAGAGGCCATCCAGCAAGCGAGAAAGTGCGCGACGCCTGGTGTCTTCGTTTCCACTGGGCCCTGGCTCTTCCTGAGATCGTTCAGCCGATGGTGTCGCAAGGAGTCGTATTGGAAGACTTGGATGTGGGGGAGGGAGTGCCACGGTGTCGTCGCATATCTACCCAACCTTTTCTATCCCATCAGTTTCTTCTCCATTCTGGACGTCTTGAAAGCGAATGTCACGAAGCAGGTCGCAGACTGCGGCGCAGGCTGTTACGCCTTTCACTACTGGAACAGTGTGTCCCGAAAACTTGGTTTTAGTGTTTCAGATCGAAGTATCTTTGCGAGTTTGGCAATGAGGAATTGCCCGTGGGCCGTAAAAAAATATATAGGTAATCTTTTGGACAATACGATCAGTGAATATTAGAATATTTTGCTCGCCAATAAAATAGGAAAACCAGATTCGGCTCTATTTTGAACAAATATGACCGAAAGAGCTTAAAATTGCGAAATGGAACACGAATTTTCAACATTTTTTTGCAGACGAATTAAACAGCAGTCAAAAGGTCGCTGTCGAACGACCAACTGTCTCGGAAAACGCAGTGAATATAATTTTATTACAATGTGATATTTTCTATTCCTCTGAAAGTAGTCTGTTTTGAGCATGTTATGAAAAACATTGCTGATGGCATAGTAGTAAATACTAATTTGTAATTGAGAAATTATACCATATAGTCATATGAATTGTGGTATTTTCAACTCAAAATACCTCGGAAGGTAGAGGAGAAAAATCCATGAGAAAAACAATGGAAACTATAGTGTTTGTGCCTACTTGCATCTTTTATTATTTTTTTATTCATCTCATCCCCCTGGGATAAACTCATCCCATTCGAATGTAAGGATTAAATGCAAAAAGAGAAGCTTAACATATTTTGAAAAGGCAATATTTTATTTTCAGAACGACATTTTTTAAATACCGATTTCAACAAGCGACCCAGTCGATACTGATGTCAACATGCGACGGTAACACGCATCAACGTCTCTTAAATGGAACCCATAACGAGTAATAAACACCCCTAAAAACACACAAGATCGTGAACCAAACGGCCTTCTCCATTGTGCAAATATTCATTAAAACAGACTTAATATTTTTAAAAAAGAATCTGTTGAGGAAGCCGATGACGAGGTGTTGTATCCTCTTCGGACATTGCCCCGACACTTTTGAATTAAATATTATTCCGTCATAGAATGCCGCAGGAAATAGTAAAAAAAAAAACAAGCTTAAGGACATTTCCTGGCCAGAATGTATTCATGAAGTCCAGCGAACGAATAGGAGCGAGTATACCATTGGAAAAGAAAAATAGCCTGAGAAACAATTTGGGAAGTATTCTTACAAATCGAAGACGGCTTGGAAGGCAATGGTGGACAGTATCGAAAAACCCCAAATTTCTCGCATAAACATCTATGAAAAGCATTGAATCGACGTGAAATTCGGACCGGTTAGGCTGCGATTTTCATCAGGTTAGTTGCATGTGGCCCAAGGAATGGGAATAAATTTTATTTATTAATTAAACGAAAACGACAGAAAAGTCCCGGATAGTGGACGAGCGAAGAGTCTTGATGGATCGAATGGGTTCAAGAAAAGGGCGATGGACGTTCTTCTTCCTTGCCATGGTGGAACGGATGAACTGGTTGAATCGAGTCAGCAAATAACTTTCAAGTTTTGTCCGTCATTGCTCCCTTCAGAATCAAAAAGTAGAGAGTCCTTTCTGAACCAATTTCCCCACCTTCGTGACCGAAATCCAGGTGGGTGAGTCGTTCAGCTGCAATTCCTGAGACGCAGAGCAAGTGTTGAATAGAAAGAGAGGATAAGAGAACAAACGCATATTCTCTCTGATTTCATTTTGCTTCCAATTTTCCCCGACGGACCGCGAGCAGCGGTGGGGACGCTGAGGGCCAGGATGCCTTCCGCTCGGTCTGACCAGCCATTCTGTCATTTGAGTCAACGTTAAATTGAAACTTTCAGGTACATTCAGGTTCATTTGGCTGAAGAGAGCCGTCACGTTTACCCCAAGTTCAGGACCGTGCAGATTGAGGTTTGAACGATCTCTTCAACGAGTTGCTGTGGAGCGTAATGCCTTTTTCATGATGATTTCTCCCTGTCGCGAAGCAGCTTCAAAAGCTCTGGAATCTGTTCCTCCTGAATCCGTTGAATCTGACTCGAAACTTGCTGAATCTGTTTCTGGATGGAAGTTATAGATTCCTCCACATTCATAATTCCTTCTGGCGAACTGCCTTCTTTGTCATTTTCAAGGTGCTTAACTTCCTCTTTCACTTTCTTATCTTCTGCTGACACTTCAGAGATAACTCTCAGAATATTTTCCAAAATATGATTTGGAAGTTCCCGCTTCTTTTCCTGGAGTCGCCCTGTCTCGATGAGGTCCGGCTCCCGACGTCTCCGAAGGAAGTACTTATTTTTAATCACGTTTTCCAGGTGATAGAGCAGGCGCACCTGTTTCTGCAGGCGTGTGATCTCGGCCCTCTTCGTCAACTCCTGGACGTCAGCGACCGCAAGGGAAGTGAGGAGATTCATGACGATGATGGCCATGAGGGCCACGAAGAGAAGGTAAATGATGTGCCCCGACCACCGAAGCACTCGGTTGGACTCGTAAAAGGTGGCGTAGAACTCCAGCTCCCCCGACATCATCACGGCAGCCCGGTAGATGGAGCTCGGGACGTCGACGAACTTCCCAGGGAATAAAATGTGGAAGCTGAGTCCGAACCCGGCCAAGAGGAAGATGAAAGTCGGCACGACCCTCA